TGCTGTAGGGGTTTCTCATAGTACTGCAGGAACCGGATACCTTTTGTTTGGTGCAGGTTGTCTCATGAGAACCGAATAGAGTAGCTGGAGAAAGGACACCCATGGTGCTACTGGCCGGTCCACTGCAGTTTCTTTTGTTTGGCGACCTAGTGACCTAATGTCGTCGCCTGCTGCAACTGGCTGCTGTTACCCCAAGCATTAAACCCTTAACCCCTAAACGCTAAACCTTAATGTTGCTGCTGCTTGCTGCACTGACACAGGTCCTTGCCATCCTTCTTACGGCACCACTCGGCGCTATCCTCATCCAAAGCTTTGGGCCCCGGCTGCTCACGAAAGAACCAGAGGACCAGCTTGAATGTGATACCACATATGATATTCTATGATATGTATAGATATGTATGTATGTATATATATATATGTATATATGTAAGAGAACCCTTTATGCATTATTTGACCCGTGGCCTCGTGCCGTTTGCGCTGGACTCAAAGCACTTTTACTGTGGAACTCAGCGGTGCCAGAGTTGCTACAGCCAGGATCCGAAATCACGAAACGGAGGCTGCGCCGCCACTGTCAAGATTGTTTGTCTGGGCCTGTGCACGTCAACGTGACGCCGCTGTAGTCGGCTTCCAATTGCGACCAATGCCGTTTCCTGTGCTTCACAATGCAGTGATTCGCGGCGCTATTTGCAATCAGAATCACAATCTGTTGTTTCCTCCGTTGCCCGTCTGTCCTCGCTGTTACATCTGGGTATGTAGTTCTCACGTCGATACCATGTAGTAGATACGCTGTATTATGGAATGCCCGACTGGTTCTCGGGCCATGAGACAGGGTCTGCTCGAGCGTCCACATGGGGAATGGCTGGTTTGGAAGTGTTATGACTGCTATGATAGAATGTGTTCGAGCGTCTACATGGGGGAATGGTGTGGATGTGCTGTCACAAGATGCCACTGATGTGTGTCTCTCGCGGGTGCTTCTGAAATAGAGCGTCTGCGGCTGGTTTGGACGTGCTGTGATGTGTGTCTTGTGCGTGCGCAGATCTTTGATGTTTGCAGATTGGGCCATGGCCTTCCTATATACAAATTTACTTTTGCGAAGGTATCGCCAAGGTGTAGCGAAGCAAACATCCCTCAAGCCTGCGAGAGGCCAGGGCGAGTGCTTATCGTTCTGTGGGGCATGGAAGAGCCCTATGCCTCGATCCATCATCCCCCTTTGTCTTACCTTTGGTTAGTAGGGAATGAAGGAATGATAGTAATATATAGTATAATAGTACCCATTCCTTCATTCCCTACTAACCAAAGGTAAGTGTTTTCTGATTGAGTACTATGGGACGCAGATTCAGTCGGTCAACTGGTCAACAGCTTGTAGACCAGGTCCGGATGCAACCTCAAACGAGGTTGCGGATAACGAGCTTGCACATGCCTCAAGTTTAGGTTTTACAAACATCACACAAACCCACGGGTCACATTATACACAAAGGACCCCTCCACATATATATATATATATATATATATATATATATGTATGTATGTATGTATATGTATATGTATATGTATTTGTGTTTGTATTTGTAGATGTAGATGTAGATGTAGCTGGATATGGATATGGATACGGATATGGATATGGATATGGATATGGATATGGATATGTATATGGATATGTATATGTATATGTATGTGTATATGTATATGTATATGTACATGTATATGTATATGTATATGTATATGTATGGTTTTACATATCTACGGAGGACTCAGTGTAGGGCTTAGAATCTTAGAACTTACCCCTCCAATCCGTCGGTGTTTGATGCCGTGCAACAGTTGCCACTTGCACGAGGGCATTCTCAGAACCGGCAGCCTGTAGCAGACCTTCCTGTAACTAAACATCCCCGTTGAGAGGAGAATTGCGACAAGCCAGGAGACGATCAGCAAGGCCCGACAGGCTTAGGCTTAGTGGATCTCTTCCTGATCCGGCCCGGCGTTCTTGATTATTCAGATAATCTTTGAGTCATTAGACCTAAACAGATTGCTTCAAGCCTGGCCCCAAATCGCGGGGAAATCCTGTAAACCCGATGGGCCCCAGACCCTACGCCCTACATCAACTCGAAGCCACTTTTGGTTTCGGTTTCTTGATAGGTTTGTCTCACAGTTTACCCTGGGGCCTGGTGAACATCGAAACACACGAATTCTGAAGCAAATGTTGCAGAGACAAAGGGGGGTCTCAACCCTGCTCGTTGCATTGTGTACCCACACAGGGGGCTCGCTTCCGAGATTTTGACCCAAAAATCCAACCCCCACACCAGGAAGTTCCGCTGCGCCGCCGGCGACCGTGGCGACTGCCGACTGTGAGTCTGCAGGCCTTTGGGATCTGTGTAGCAGGCATACCGGAACAAAATGCAAGTCCAATGTTTTGCCTACCTAGCTTCCTTCCTACTCGTACTTACCCAGCTACCCAGCTGCTTGGCTAGCTAACTTCGCGAAGTAGAGGCGTGAATGAAATGAAAACAAAAAGGAAACTGCAGATAAAAGTAGCACCCAGGAACCAAGACACCCAGCACTAGACCTACAAGTAAGAAGTCCGCTTAAACAACTTAAATACCCGGAATGCACGTATACTCCTGTGTCCTGCATTTGTCCGTCAGGTCTCCAAAAGGCTGACAAGATGAGCCTCTGATGGCGCTTGTGCGGTAGTCAGAACCCCAAACCCCTACAAGCTGCGAACCGCCGGATTGATGCGGCAGCCCGTCATTCCAGGAGATAGCAAATGTTGGCGACGGAAGTTCTCAACCGAAACCCCAGGCCGTAAGCCCTACACTCGAAACTTTGTGCCTGCACCGTAAACCTGAGACCCGCAACCTTAAAGCTTAAGCGGCAGCCTAATATAGGGGTCTGAATAACTACCTGCACTACTTATTTCAATTATTATATTAGACTACAATGGCCCCAAAACTCGATTCTAATTATTAAGGCCCCTATATTTTAGAACCCTAGATCCCGGAGAGACCCCTTTAAAGGAGCCTGTTCAAGGAGCTTTATTCTAATTGTTAATAAGGCCCTTATATTATTGTCTTATCTTTGGAGCCAGGCCTCCTCGCTAATGGCGAGAGCGCGCTTGGAAGTTAATGCAAAAAGCTGCTGTGGTGTTTGTCTTCCTTGCCACTGCATGTGTCCCAGCGTGCATAGCTCAACATGTTCCATACATACATACATATACATACATACAAACAGATATGTACCACTAGCTCTGCTGTGCCGTGGAGCTGCTCGAGCTGTTCCGTACTCAAGCCGTTGACATGGCAGAAGAATCGCTCTAACCTCGGCAACACTGCATTCAAACTTGCCGAAGCTGTTGTCACAAGAGCTTGCTATTTCGGCGTATGCATCTTAGCATCAAGGCTTAATAGGTTCTTGACTAAGATTTTGAGAAACCTGCGACATCCTAGAGGACATGTCACATGAGGGAAAGGAGCAGTCGACACACATCCAGAAAGGCAGCTTGTCGTGCACAGGCTGAGTGGGGACTGTGTGGCTTTTCTTCAGGAACTAGCTACTCTCCAGCGATCATAGAAATTCATGTTCGATACATGCATTGCTTTCCTTGTTTTGATGTCTGTCTGAGGCATTCTGAGGCATGTCACAAGCCTGCGAGCCTTTCTGAGTTAGCCTAGGCAGTGTCTGTCGCGACATGTGATGTGTTGACTTGTGTTGACAGGCTTTCAAGAAGAAGTCAATGCCTTCCGTGCCATCCTCGGAGTTCCTTGTGCACTTGCATGTCAGGCTTATTCATGTATACTATAGTAGTATACTTTAACAGTATACGATAATGGTATACGGCAATTGTATACTATAGTTTAGTTGTATACTATCACGTGCCCTGGCATGGGCTTAGACTGGTGAAGCCAGAGGCATGTAATCGTAGACTGTTATAGTATGCTATAACAGTGTGTTATTTTTCTCAGAATAACATCATACTATAGTAGTGGACTATTATATTGGTCTATTATATGTATACTAAAGTCGTATCCCATTATACCATTATGGTGCACCATTTTTGTGTAATTCGTCCTTACTCAGGCCTGGGCATCCTTCCTGCCAGCACAGCACAGTCTGGCAAGTCACGGCACTGCCTGGCAGTTTGGCACAACTACTGCGAGGCTTTCGCAGGGGTGCACGTGGCTTCGTGTCCGAAGTGATAGCTGTGCGAAGGGTTTCAAGTTATATCATATTGCATTCCCCCGAAAGTGTTGACACACTATCTGGGGAACAAGAGAATGCATATTACAATCTTTGTCGACTGCAGTCACTGTAGTCGCTGTTCTTCGAGGGTTCCAGAAAAACCTTACGGTTCCTTCGGCTCGACTCCCTTCAGGAGCGGAGCGAGTGAACACGACCGTGATCAGAGAGGTTCCACGCGCACAGCAGCTCGCGAGGGCCTTACATAAGTTGTGCAGGCTCGTTGCGGCGCCTTAGATTAGATTCTACACTTTAAGCCATGCTGTCATAGTAGCCTGTGCCTTCCATGGCAGAGTATCAGCGATGCTGCCCAACCGAGGCGGTTGATATGCGCCTTCCGGGCCCTCAGGCCTGTGGTCAAGCGGCGAAACGCTGCCAAAGGCGGCGCTGTGAGTCTATTTTTCCCCAGATTTTGCACAGCTTTCGTAGACTGAAGATCTACCAGACGTCTAGGCAATTCCCTCCTTTGAAGCATGAGTATCGGCAAGCTGGAAATGCAGGCTGACCGTGGCACAAGACCATCAACGGCATGTCATCAGGCGCACGGATGCTGTCTGCTGGGACTTCGGTCGATCGCAAGTCGACAGCAGGTCCCTAAACCCTAAAAAGAAAACCCTAAAATCTAAACCGAAGAGGACGGCTGGGATGCTCAGTGGTTTCGGCACCCGAGCAGGTCGATCCAAAAACGCCGCCCCACTGGCTCCGAGAGATTTCAGGCTCAAGCCAAGTCACGCGTTGCCTTAAAACCCAATCCTAGCTCCAGGGCCGAAATGATGGCTTTGGTGACGGTGCTCTTTGTGTTACCCATGGCGCAGGTGGCGACTGCTTTTCGCCATGAGGCGGTGGGGGAAGACAGCAGCCACATCTGTTGGCAAAAGTGTTGCTCTTCCAAGTGCGGCAATACAAGCTTTCATCTCCCAGGCGATTTGGCGAGACAAGTCGAGTTACATGATTGCGTGGTGAAGCTGCACGAGCCTCAATACCATGCGGGAGACGCTTTTTGCGAGGAGACTTGCACAATCTTCGCCTCTGAGGGGGCGAAAACCATCCAAGTTGAGCGGAAGAGTGGGAAAGGAGAACAGCAGTGCAAACTGCAGTCGCCCGTGGACGGCCTCTGCCAACACCAATGCTGTCATGCCAAGTGCACGGATGAAGCCTACGAGCTGAATGGCACATGGCAACTCCAAGATTGTCACTTGGGTGTTTCTTCGGTATGCTTTTTGAAAATGTGTCTGTGGTTGCCCGAGTTCGTATGTTGTGTCGCAGGAACTTCGGCAAGAGTATACTGCGTTAAAGGTATGTTCTCTCACACTTTGGGCCCCTAGGTTCCCTGGTCGGTCGTTATGAGCAGGGCTGCGAGGAGAAGTGTACAGTGGTACACTCTGGAAAGCCTCAGCATGTCCAGGCGGAGTTTCGTGTTTTCTCCAGCGCAGATGGTCCCTTCTGTGCTGTACTACTGTTATCATCGCACTTCTTCTCGTTCCGTAATAGTACTATACTAGTACTAAAGTGGGACTAGAAGAGTACTATAATAGTAGTATTGTCCCAAGGGCAAGCTGTGCAGGTCCTCCGACGGAGTGGGCCTGGCTCACCGCTCTGCATTCCCCAGGAATCCCCGGAACAAGTGGCCGCAGACTTTATCGAGCAGCTCGAGAAGGGACCGGTTTTAGGGTTTGGGTTCTGGGTTTAGGAATTTGGGTTCTGGGTTTTGGGTTTCAAGGGCTGGGTTTTGGGTCAGGACCGCTCCGTGATGGCTGGTACATCGGCAAGCGTGGTGGTGTACAGTGGCCTAAAGTGAAGAAATTCCTGAAGCTCGGCAAGGCGGCGGTCACTGACGAGCATCGCAGGCACGGATTTTCCCGAGAGGTCTCTGGCGAGGTCAAAGATGTTGCCATCATCGGAGATCTTCACGGCCAGCTCTTCAACCTTATCGCTTACTTGGTGGAAATCAAGCAACTTGGCTTTGGAGTACCATAGCTTAATATTTTTCTTAGAGGAATTATGATGAAAAAAGTACGCTTTTCTCCCCAGTTACTTAAACGCCCAGGAAAGCATATCAGGAGAAGGGTTACAGCAGCCTGGATGGATCATCACTGCTCGTCTGTGACCCGCGCATGCAGTACATCTTCCTGGGCGACTATTTAGATCGGGGTGAGAGAGCAGTCGAATTGCTTCTGCTTCTTCTCGCCTACAAGGCCAGAGGTTGCCTCAACCTTAAAGCTTGGATACTGCCCCCACTCAGCAACAGTTGGATAATACTCATAATCTAGATAGATCATGCCCTTAATAGTAGCCGTAGTTTCGACTGTTACTGTATGGGGACAGTATCCAACGTAAAGCCTAAAACCTAAGGTAGACATCGTGAATTTAGACTACCGAGATGCAATGATAGGAAGCTGCGGCAACCAGATCTGTGCCACCGTCTACAGGCTGATGAGTATTTAGACAGACTACGGCATATAGTGTTGTGCCTGATCGCACATGCTATGCTGCAGTATGCTGCGTCTAGGATATACAGTCATATACTTGAGCACAGTTTCTTCTCCCAGAACCCAAACCCTAAAGGCCTAAAGCCCTAAAACCCTACAACCCTAAGCGCTAGAACCCAAATGGCTACGGCTCAAGCTGTTGTGCTCGAGGCCTTGCCAGTCTTTTGATTAGCCTCGGGCCCCTCCCTTGCCTCTCGCCCTGTGCGCCGGGCGGCTTGTGTACCTCCTGCGGGTGTCCGTGGCCGTGGAAGAGTCCCTTCTCCTCTACCTGATTCTCCGCTTGGTCATCGCTGGGGAGACTTTCTCATTGGCGACTTCTAACTTCGCGAGGGCTACCTGATCGTGCTGGGTGGTTAGCTGGTCATCTCGGTATCTCTCTGGCTGTACGCGAACGAGGGCGCCTCACTTTCCGTGGTTGACTCGAGCTGGGGGTGACGATCGACTTGGAGCTCTTCATCGTCCTTGCTCACACTTTGCAAGCTTCGGTGTTCCACCATTTGCTGCTCTTCGGCGTCTTCTACTTCTTCACCCATCTTCTCTTCTATCTCTTCTTCCTCGTCGGGCTGAAGGTGACCTTTGAGCTCGGGGTGACCTCTCCAGGATGGCAGACAACCTGGACACGCAACCGGGTGATATCTCAGAGATGAACGTTGACCACGGTGGAATTGGTGATGTTCTACCAGGAGCTGTTGGATCACCGACTGAGCTTGCGGAGGATGGTTCTGAACCCGAAGGTGCCGACGTCGAGATGCCAGTGAAGCTTGAGAAAAGGAAACGACGTGATGGTCTCGCTGCGAAAGATGACCCGAACGTTTGTCCTGTCCCTGACTCGGATGATGATTTTGATAGTCCATCTAAGCGAGCCCTTGTGAGTGAAGACAAGCCCCTTACAGCTCGTGAGATCCGGGACCTGCTACTCGGCCACGTCAATGAAATGCGAACAGCGTGGCATTCCTTTCAAGGTCGTCTCGATGGGGTTGAACGAGAACAGGCTAAGTCGAGCTTTGAGATTTCGAACCTGCAATCGCGCACGAGGGTGATTGAGAAGGATCAAGGACAGCAAAAACAGACCTTGCAAACACAGGCCAATGCGTTGGAGTCACTCACCACTGAGGTAAAAAACATGAAGGTCAAGCTGGATGAAGTGAGTTCTCGGCCTCTCTCCGCCGCCCCAGCACATCCTGCTCCAGCAGCTGGTCAAGCCGATCCTTGGAGTGAATATCTTCGCAATCACCCCTCGGGGTCTAGTGGTCCTGACAAGAAGGGTGAAGTCGCCGGTGTCGCTCCTCCCACTGACCGGGGTGACACACTTTCTGATGAGGACAAAAAGACCTTGGTGATTGGGGGGTGGCAACAGGACACCAAACGATCAGTCATTGAAGAAGAGTTCGGGGTGATCCTTGCTATCCCGGAAGTGAAAGCTCTCCTTGACAGTGACAAGATCCTTGTCTTCGGGCCGAGACGCTCAGTTGGCATGCTTCGTTTTAGCGTTCGGGAGGGTGAAGTTTTTGCACAGACCAAGAACCGCATGTGGGAGTTCATCCGGGCCCTTGGACGAATCAAACATGTGTTGCCAAGTACGAAAGCGTCTGGTGAAGACAAGGTCTTGTGGGCCTCGTTTGTTAAGACCAAGACAGCCCGCGCGCGCAGCAGCCATGTGAGCCTCACGAGGAGGATTGTCATCGCTCTGGCTAAAGACAACATTGGCCAGCATGATGGGGTGAACACCAAGGTTGAGGCCTATGACTGTGACTGGAACATGGGCACAGTGTGGTGTGGATCCGAGAAAATGGCAAGTGCCACTCATCGCCAACCGAAGGGTGATGATGAGATCCAGCTCCTCTCCGGAGGTTGGGGTGAACATATCTTCGGTGGCGAGAGTTGCGGGGTGCTCGACTGACGATGCCAGGAGTGCCTTCGAACGTGAGCTGTGATCCTCTGAGCATGACGGTTTCACCTTGAATTTGTCCTCTTCGACTCCCGATGGTGACCCGAACGTTCCGAAGGAAGTTGGGGTGACTTTGCCTGGTCCGTGTGCAACACGCAGATGGGGCAGATGTGCTACGTGGAATTTGGGAGGACAAGCTGCAGGACTTCTCGACGTTGCATGCAAAGATTGTAACATTATCTTTGCGCAGGAGCTCGCTCGTTCTGAAACTGGATGGGGGTGCTTCGACACAGATGAGTTTCACTGGATTGTTCATAGAGATGCTCGACAGTGGAGAGGTGTTGGGGTTGCAGTCGCAATTGACAAGTTCGACTCGGTTATCTGGAAGGGTGCCACGGAACGTGGAATCTGGGTGGTCGTGCGTGTTCATGGGCTTGGTCGGGTCGTCTTAGGGTCCGTTCATTGCCATACTGGAGTCGCCACACGTGTTTATCAGGCCGCCGCTCTGGAGTTTGCCAAAGCTTGCCCTCGCAAATATCGGCACCTCCCTGTCCTTTGTGGAGCCGATGCCAATGAAGCTACGAGCTGGGAGATGACCGAAGGGGGTGAGACGCTCCAGCACGGAATGGGTAGCTCAAATCTCGAGGTGCTTGTACATGAGCTTCTTCAACATGGAGTCGTCACATCGCCTCCTCGCCTAGTTGATCGAAACATTGCCACCCACTATCCACGGGATGAAAGCCGATCCGGGCGCCAAATTGACATGCTCTTCACTCGCCTTCTGCATGTTCTCCCAGCTGTCATCGAACCAGACAGGCGACATATCATCGGTACAGATCATGCCATTGTCATGGGTGACATTGTCGTGGCAGGTGGGCCTAGTCGCAGCCTTTGGGGCAACGACTCTCGTCCGCGCTGGGTGTGCAAGGAGCTGCCAGATGTTGAGCTCATCGATGAGGACGATGTCATTGAGCTCGCCAGAACACACACCAAACCCCGGCTCTCACAGAAATACCAAGACAGCGACGAGATCAAACAAGCGATTAGAACTGCCAAAGGATCCTCTCTTCCAGCCGACTGGAAACGGGTTCATCGTCTGCGAAAACAACATCGACGACATTGGTCGACTTGTAGGCTCGCTCGCATCCTTGGGGGTGATTGGGAACAATATCGTCTCTTACAGAACGAGAAGAAGCGCAAGCGTGGATGGTGGGGCAATTTGTTAGCAGAGAACAGCTCCCGCGACCTTGCCAAAGACATCGCGGATCACCTACGTGGGAAGATGTGCCATCCTGGTCGCAGTGCTGATGAATGGGGTGAACAACTACGCTCCATCATTTCTGAGGCTGCGGAAGACGACTTCTTTGTCCCTTTTACTCTTCTGGATGTTCGCACCGAGCTTCAAGACATGAAAGCAAAAAGTGCGGTTGGGCCGGATGGAGTTGGTGTGCATCTACTGCGTGAAATGGCATCTCATGAGATACTGGGACCTCGCCTACTTGGGCTCATCAATCACATTGTTGAGAGCCGCGAACTTCCCCATAGCTGGGAGACAAGCTTCCTCGCTTTACTGGCGAAATGTAAGCTACCTCGCAGTGCGTCGGATCTCCGCCCCATTTGCGTTTCGTCTGCCTTCCACAAACTAGTCAATCGCCTTGTCTGTGCCAGAGCTTTACCTTTGAT